TGCACAGCTGCCTGACAGAGAAATTGAACAATGTTTGGCAATATTTTAAAGTTGTAATTTCATCAGCAACTGACTTAGGGAAATCTAAATATAAATCTGGAAATTAAAAAATGTTGTGTGCTATCTTTAGCCGCTCTAAGGACTGAAATACAACCCTTCTCATGGCTGCCCAGCGGCCTTTTCCTGGGAAGTCAGTTGTCATTGTTACACCAAGTTTCTTTTCATCCTGAATTGTGCTAACATTTAAAAAGAAAACTGTAAAGTTACAAAGAAATATATTTTAAAGATAATTTTTTTAAAAATTATAGTAAGAACATGGGAAAAAATACAGAAATCTGGAAAGTAAAGTGTCCTTCAGAGCTGGGCTATCTCCTACCCATACGTATAACACTAAATACAGTGGAGACGTACGCATGCTTTACATTAAAAGGACACGATCCCTGTATATTCTGGAGCTTTGCTTTTTAATCTCAGGAACATGTCATGATGTTCTTCCTGGTCAGTGCACATAGTCCTACTTTATTTTTTTCCAGAGGTAATAGAGCATACTATTCCATAAATGAAAATACCTGAACCTCTATTGATGAGCATGTACCATACATATGTAGGAGTCTGTATGTTTAACTCATACTGATTTTATTATTTACACTGATTGCATTTGTTAGGTAAAGTCCCTCTTACAACTGTGTCCTGCCCCCAAGAGGTGTGCCGTACACCACGGCCCCTCATCTTCCTTCCCACACTTGCTCATTCCCCTACCCGCCACCCCTTGAATTAACTCATCTACTACCTTCATATTAGAATAGAGTACACTGGATTCTTGCTTCTTCATTCTTGTGATGCTTTCCTAAGAATGCATTCCACCTCCATCTAGGTTAATACAAAAGGTCTACATTTCCGTCTTTTTTCAGTGGCTGAATAGGATTCCACAGCTTGTTAATCCATTCCTGGGTTGGTGGGCATTTAGGCTGTTTCCACATTCTGGCAATTGTAAATTGAGCTGCAATAAACAGTTTAGCACAAACGTCCTTGTGATAAAATGACTTTTTCTTCCAGGTAGATGCGTAGTAATGGGATCGCAGGACCAAATAGGAGGTCTAGTTTGAGCTCTTTGAGGATTCTCCTACTTCCCTCCAAAAAGGCTGTATTAGTTTGCAGTCCCACCAGCGGTGTAAAAGTGTTCCCATCTCTCTACATCCACGCCAGCATCTGCAGCATTGAGACTTTGTGATGTGGGCCATTCTCACTGGGGTTAGGTGATAACTCAGGGTGGTTTTAATTTGCATTTCTCTGATGGTTAGGGATGATGAGCATTTTTTCATATGTTTGTTAGCCATTCTCTGTCTTATTATTAGAAGGTTCTATTCATGTCTCTTGCCCAGACAGGTGATAGATGGGATTGCTGGGGTGTTTTTTGTTGGTTAATTTACATTATCTATAGATACTATTTCTCAAGCTTTTGTCCAATTCATAACATGCAAATGTCTTTTCCCATTCTGAAGGTTGTTTGCTTTGGTTGTTGTCTCTTTGGCTGTACAGAAGCTATTCTGTTTATTTTTCTTGTTGTTGCAATTATCACGGAAGTCTTCAAAAAAATCTTTCCCCAGGTTGATATCTTCAGGTGTTTCCCCCACACTTTCTTCAAGGGTTTTTATTGTTTCATGCCTTAGATTTAAATCTTTTATTCATCTTGAATCAATGTTTGTAAGTGGTGAAAGTCCAGTTTCAGTCTTTGACGTGTGGTTATCCAGTTCTCCCAGCACCATTTATTGAACAGGGATTCTTTTTCCCAGTGTATGTTCTTGTTTGGTTTACTCATACTGATATTAAATTGTGCAGTAGCTATACAAGACTTTTAAAAGTTGTCACATTGTAATTGTACGTATCTGTGGGGTACCTTTTATGTGTTAATACATGTTTATGTTGTGTAATACTCCAATCAGGGAGTTGCATATTCACCTCCTCATGTAATTACCTCCTTTCCTTGGGAGGTAATTTCCTTGTGCTAAGGACATTCAAAACCCTTTCTCCTACCTGTTTTGTAACACACAGTCTCGCTGTTAACCATAGTCGCCCTCCTGTGCTATACTATACCACAGGCTTTAAAAAAAAATGAACTTTGTATGAAAAGATGAGTCTTTGCTTTATTATAGGCGAAGATTGCCCCAAGGGCTATCTTTTCCTAGCAGTTTAAAGGTTTTTTGAGTGGTGATGAATGCAATTTAAATGATATATGTACAGCCTCGTGCATCACTATATCACCTTTAGACACTAGCAAGGCAAGCAGGACTGTGTGCAGGGAGAGGCCAAACCGGACGCCTCAGGAGGTGCCCTTTCAGAACTGTCACATTCCCCCGATTTGTAAATGCCATCCTGTCGCTTAATTTCTCCTGTAAAGTTCTTTGTCTTTAGCACTGTGCTTCTCAACAAGGGGGAGCCCCCCAGCCCCCCAGAAGAACACATCAGAATCTTTTGCAAAGGTCTTTTCCAAAATGCACAGCTTCCTTCCTGCCCCCAGGTAGAGTGTGGTTGCCTGATGGAGATCACTGCCTGTGGTTTCAGATGTTAGGAGCATGTTGTGCAGCTAGGTAGAAGCAAAAACCCCAATAAAAACACAAATGCAGCATATAACGACCATTTACGTGGTGAACAGTTTTTTTAGGTGAAGGGGCATCATTGTGCCAGAGCCCCTCGTCCCATTTCTTCATTCAGCGCTGGCAGAGGGCTGTCCTTTGTACTCACCTTACAAGCGTTCTCGTGGAACTGCTAATGAGTAGGGACGAGCAGAGCCAAGTACAGATGTGTGACATGGCACAGGGAGTCACTCATCTCCACGGGGAGCCCATCTTCTGCATTCTAGAGGAAGGCAAAGAAGTCACATTTGCATGCATCTAGCAAAGTTACCCTCATGGGGCCGTCAGAGTTCACTGTGCAGTTGAAACTCTGAGCTCTAACTCTGCATATCAAACCAATCCATCATCTTTATACCTTTAAACTTGGTAGAAAACTCTCAGAGGCCGGTGATTCTATTTGAAGATCCACCTTACTAGGTACAGGGGAGTCTAAAAATGCCCGTGACAAGGACGCGCTTGTCTGGAGGGTGGATTCCACAGTCCTTTGAGTTTCGTCTGCAGCACCTGAGGGTAAGTGAAAAGGCTAAGAGGAGAAATACTAATGGAGTTCTGTTTTTCCTGCAGACTGCAGCAGAATACGTAAAGTCTCGACTGCCAGAGGCCCTGAAACAACATCTTCAGGACTACGAGAAAGACAAGGAAAACAGCGTCCTGTCCTACCAGACCATCCTCGAGCAGCAGATTCTGTCCATTGATCGGGAGATGCTAGAAAAGTTGACTGTGTCTTACGACGAAGCAGGTAAGTTTGTCTTTAGTACACAATTGTCCTCTTTTTGAAAAATTTCATTATGGACCTTGCTTAAACCTGGGACCTTTCTTCTCTGAGGTAGAAGGTTAAGGGTAAACTGGATTCAGAGTTATATAACAGACTAGTAGTTTCTTCTCTGCAGTTTCAGTAGCAAAATTTGTCAAAAAGTCTCTAAAATTGGCTCTTAAATCTCTTTTCATTTTTGTTCTTTTTCTTAAGTGGCATTTTTCTTGCCTTTTACCAACCAGGTACTTAAGGTATTACTTAAATTTTGGATATCAGCCGAAAACTTTCACATCCGGTAACCCAAGAACTGTTAGTTGATTTATTTAAAAATTCCATTTTTCTAAAGAGGTTCATTCTATTTTCCTCAGTTTTCCTGCAGAACTGATAAACTGAACTTGACTTTTTCTCAGCAACACAGAGACTACCACACCAGACTTCATCTCTCTGTTCACCAGCTTCATCTCATCCAAGGGAGATTTAACGGCATTATAGCCAGACGTCTTCCTGACACCATTTTAATCTATGATGTGATGTGATGTGGTCTGCCATCTAAAACAATTTTAACAAAATGAGTCTAGTGTTACTTGGGATTAAAA